AAAAAAAAAAAAAAAAAAAAAAAAAAAAAAAAAAAAAAAAAAAAAAAAAAAAAACAAATAAGCTCGATAAGATATTATACATGTGTATATCACTTGGTGTAGCGGAGCGCAAACTATCGTTACCACGTGTTAATATATTATACTGTATATACAACTTTGCGGGTGTATGTGATCGTATAAACTGTGCAGTGCAATAACCCACTTTGGCTACATACTCACCGACCCGGGAGTATATATATAAGAGGAGCTTCGGCACTTGCGCTTCCCAGGGGGGGGGGGCGGCGGAAGCGCTTACTCCTGCTATTTCAGCGCGATAGCCGCCCTTATATATATATATGCTCGCACACGTACAAAGTGGATCTAAACCGTTTGCGCTCTCTCTCTCCCTCTGCTGGTTAGCCGAGATACGCGGCTATGATGACTTTTTAAGTCGACTGGGCACTTCTCTATTTTCTCGCTTTGGTGTGTGCGTATACTTTTAGGAAAGTTCGTAAAAAAAGGGGTTTCTTTTTCTCCTTTTGAAACACCCACGGTTTGTGTTTAAACACAAAAATTTTCATTAAAAAAATTACCTCCCGCTGGACCGACTTTTTTTTTTCCTTGGCATTACCTGTGTAAGCATCATGTATATAATTATGTATACGTGGCAGAGACGGGGAGAGGAAGGAAAGACACTGCCAATATAAGCGAGGGTCTTACGACTGTAACGAGGAGTAATGACCGTATCAATGTATTTGTGTTGGAGTCTTGGCCGTGTAGCCGATGTACGTGGAGGGGGTGCGACGTGATTTGGTTGTTGTTTTTACGGAGGAAAAGAAAATAATTTTCCGTAACAAAAAGGCACCCCATTTCACACGTTAGCTTTTCGATTTAACGGAGGAATGGGGGGAGGGGAAATATACCGCACCTGTGAAAGCGAACAATAGTGCGTACAAAGTGAGCCAATATTGCACGACCCATTTTCGGGTGTATCCAGTTATATCACGTGGGAGACGACCGCGGGATGTCACGGTTCTCTGGTATTCCGAATCGTGGCATCGATGATTTCTCATTTTTACGGCATGGGACACGTGCAGTGGAAGAGAAATAAAATTTTGCTTAGCTATAGTTTTATTGTTCCCTCGATGGCTACGAGCCGCGAAATTGGAGTTTTTTTGAAAATTATTCGCTGCGCGCAAGGTACATGCATATAATATGTGTACACATTTTATATTGGCGTTGCTCTCGTGTGTTTTCATAAGGAAAGTAATGGTCGATTTTTTTTGTTTTAAATATTAAGAAAATTTTACCACAAAGTAACAAGTTCATTTATTATTTAATAAAACAAAACTTGTCATACTGAACGTGTACGATTAAATACCGATACACAGCAGCAGTAATTCATAAATTTCAAATCGAAACGAATCCCATGTTGATTTTAAATCATTATTTAAATGAAAAAAAAAAAAACAGAACACATTTTTAACTCACAAACACGTAGTGCGAGTGACAATGAAGAAAAAAAAGTCGTAATCGAAACGAATCCCATGTTGATTTTAAATCATTATTTAAATGAAAAAAAAAAAAACAGAACACATTTTTAACTCACAAACACGTAGTGCGAGTGACAATGAAGAAAAAAAAGTCGTAATCGAAACGAATCCCATGTTGATTTTAAATCATTATTTAAATGAAAAAAAAAAAACAGAACACATTTTTAACTCACAAACACGTAGTGCGAGTGACAATGAAGAAAAAAAAGTCGTAATCGCCGCTTCACTCCCTCAACCGAGCGGCATCTCTTCTGCGTCGAGGGGTCGTCCTCCACGTCAATTTTTCGTAAGCCTGACGAGCCTCTGCGCTCAAGGCCAGTCGGGACAAAAGCCGCTTGCAGCCGTGGCATCGATCCACCGGATCAATGGACTTGTGGCCACATTTCCAGCAGATGATCGACGTTGTTGCCCTTTTTGTCCCTACGAAAAGAAATTGGAAACAAAACAAAAACCACCAAAGATTAGGTTGGAACAAAATATAATATACAAATCGCATAATATCAATCTGTATTACTCGCACTTTTTAAATCATTCTTAGAACATCATTTTTTTAAAAATAGTTTTGATAATTTTTCATACGCTTAATGATTATTTAATTACGCTGTTGTGAGTTAAAATAAGCTACTTTTTTTTTAAGTCAAAAAAATTTTTAAGGTATAAGGAAGCAAATCAATTGGTTTGAAAGGCAATACTGTTCCCAACTTTATTTTTCTTATGATGAACGAAATAATCTTCACAATTGTTTGTCCTCGCAAAACATGAAAAAAAAAGATGTAGTAGATATAGTTGTAGCTTTACTTGGTGTAATTTAATAATTTTTCAGTAAGTAGATTGAAAATCATAAGAAGTGTAAGAAAAAATGTTTTTCTTAAAATCTTAAAAAATCCCATGGTTATTTAAATGAAGAATCAAAATGCTTCCAGTGACGATGTATGTTAATTCAATTTTCATTCGGGTTTCATGACTAAAATTTTCATTTTATACGACGATAAAGAGATTGGCAAATGACAAGAGATGGCTAAAAAGTACCAATCGGGACACCCCGATACAATAACTACTGTTATCATTTTATGGGGCATGGCCCAGAGAGCTGCACTGTAGGGACGGAACCGCGTACACACGTGTGCTTAAATACGTATTACATCGTCTTCAAACACCAAGACTATGGCTTGCAAAGTTCGTGCGCCCGCACAGTAGTACTATGTACGCGCACACAATGCAATTCAGCACTGTATAATTTTGACAATCTGCAGCCACATACATAGGTATATACGAGCACGCGGATAATGGTTGCAGCGCAAGGCTAATACACACACATACCTGTATAATATGTAGGCGCACGAATATAGCAGCTGATCAAGTAAACTGACCCACTTTGGATGATTATTGATTTATTTTTCTTATTCGTTTTTTCCCCGATTGCACGATTTCACTGAGCTCGGGATTAACAACGAAGGATTCATATAATATTCACTAGAGGGATTACTTTCAGGGGTTACATTACATGTCCGACTAAATTGTTGTAATTTTTCTGTTATTTAAATGATAATATTAACTGTTAAATTTTGTCATTAAAAGTGTAAGCTATGAATACCGAAAACGTAGCGTACACGAGTATACGTATAGGGTGCCTGCATCCTATAAGCGCTGTTTGGCGTACATTTATATACCGACTAATTAAAGGCCGCACGCGTAAGGAGCTTGGGATGCAAATTTTCCCAACAAAGTAAGTAATTCGTATGAAAACGTCGTTTGAAATCTGCATGTAAATTTCGCGCGACTTGTACTTGAATTTGTTTCCTTACGTATGCCGCTTTCAATTGGCCTATCGACTTTGCAAGCTCTACTGTTTTTTTTTTTTTAATTAAAAGAATATGGCGTGTGCGATGGCGTGTAGTGATTATCATTTGTTATTATTATTTTCTTTTCAAGGTAAGCTGTACATTATCCCGCAATGCAGAATTAGTTTCAGGGATGAAAAGGAAAAGAATTACCCTTCACGGAATATAATAAGCCGCAAGCTCTGTATAGAATGGCAACGCTTCTACATGCGTATTTATTATAATGTATTACATGCGGCTTATTATATTCCGTGAAGGGTAATTCTTTTCGTATGTGGTCCGCAAGGATTGGAAACGAGCCACAGGCGCATAGACGTCAATTACGTTATCCGCGTGCTCGTACTCCGCCATTCGAGTTGATACAACGTAGATGTGTTCACGAGCTTGCAGAGGACATCGTCATATCGAAGCATACGTAACATACTGATCGAATTTATTTATAGATCAATTTGTTGCGTTCGTTTATAGATTTTTTTTTTTTTTTAATTTGAATGTGTCCCTAAAAAATAGTTGAAGAAAATAATGGAATTTAAAGAATAACATTTTTTTGTATGTTACAAAAAGAGATGTGCAATATTTGGATTTGTCTTTTTCATCGTCGAAAATAGCTTCAAGGTGCGGTTGATACCACGTACGAGAAATGGGAGTTATCGTTGTCGTGATCCTTGAAACAATACGATTGGACACTCTTACTCTGTATGTAGGACATAACGGGATTACATGAAACACAATATGCTTCATTTTTCGTTTTTATTGATAATCTGTCGGCTATATAAACTGGAACAAAAATAACAGATTGAACAGTTGGATCAAGGATGTATGCAATAGTGACATCACTTTTTGCGGACCTTCGGCAAAAAAAAAAAAAAAAAAAATACTGATTCAATTTTTAAATTATCAACTGAAATAAATTATACGTGGCGTGCCGTTGCTTATTACAACAGCCAAGGACTTGCAAAACTGAGGTTTTAAAGGAGTGTTAGGAAAACTCATATAGGAGGGAAAAAATCTCAAAGAAGAACATGTAAACGTTCAACAGGTCAAGTGCTGCAGTGTTTTTATTTATTTTTTTTTATTTTAATGCATAGAAATAAGGACAATTGAAGAAAAAATATATTTTTAAAAATAATAATAATAACTAATAAAGGCATGAAATAAAATTTTCACATTTGTAAGAATTTAATGTTATTTAAATAACCTTTTTTTCTTTACAATGGAATATTGTAATTTTAAAGTTTACAGGCAATCTTATTTTTCAAACGCTTGAACATGGTACATTATTTTTTCCGAAATTTTAAGCACTTGCGATTTCTTATGTGGTGATAGAGAACCAAGTAAATACAGAACAACTTGTGGCAGCCTCTGCATCCGTAATAAATAAACGAAGAACAAATTACGCATTTTTTGTTATGACCCAGACCATCTATTTCACGATCCACTAAGTATTTCGAGCATTTTCCACAATAAACAAACATCTGCAATGAAGAGAAACCGAGAATAATAAAAAAAAAAAAAAAAAAAAAGTGTAAACAGTTTAGAATTATAAAAATACATGAACTAATACTCTTGATGTGAAAGGTATTCAGTTTTCGATTGCAGGGTGTGAAAGAGAACAATGAAAAAGCCGCATGCTCTGATGCAGATTAATAGATGTACTAAAGTACATTAACAGAATAAAAGAAAAACATTGTACATAATTGTAATTTATAATTTGGTCATAACACAAGTTGCAGAGTGATCGTATAAACTAGGAAATAATATTGATACATTTTTGTTACAGTTTTTGTTAAATATATTAATTTACTAGAATAATTTTATTTCATCGGTACAAAGGAATTGAATTTTCTTTAAATTTAAATTGCATTGCATGACTCTGATTGAAAATGAATCATAACATTCTCCTCGAGGAAAAACCATGTGTTACATTTCTTGCATCCGTAAACGATTGATCCAGAACAAAAGAAACACCTTTTCCCTTTAGACGAACTGAATGTACACATTACTTTTTTAGCACAGCGTAGGCAATAGAACTGCAGCTTACTAACGATACCCATTAAATCTGAAAAATTTACAAAAAAAGTTAATGAAAATTCATAAAAAAACAGATGAGCTAAAGAGAAAAAAAAATTTTTCGATCGTTGTTAGTAAAAAAAAAAAAAAAAAGTTTTTGTATATATTAAAGTTAAACAAGCAGTGTCGTGTACAATGCGGATGTTAAATCAACCAATGTGCATGGCCCATTTGATAATTAAACGAAGCTACAATGAAAGGGTTGAACAAAAAATGGCTAAACGGATCATGGCTATTTTATTGGCGTACATTATTTACATAATATATATAAATTAACATAATTGAAATATAAACATCGCCAACTGGCACAGTTTGGTCGAAAGAGACGATTCGACATAGCTTGGCTCGAGGCTCGGGCGGATGAAAAAAAATAAAAAACCTGAATTTTCGTTGAAATTACTGAACAATGAACAATTCAGAATAAAGTTTTTTTTTTCATGAAAATATAGCCCTTTGACCTGTGAAAAAACAATACGAATTTTTGTAAAACGTACACATTAAATGAATTTTACTAAAAACAAAAATAAGTTTGAATCACGAATTTATTGTCGTTCGATATTATTGCGAATAAACGGGTATCTTGCGAACGTCTGTAAATATCTGTAAAACAATAAAAAATGTCATTATCAATGTGTCGAAAAAAGAAAAAAAAAATAAAATAAAAAAAAAAACATCATCACTCGTGAAAAAATTTTAATATCATTGCATATGGAAATCATCTTGTGAACACATTAGATGAAAAATACAATTTGATCATGAAAAAAAAAAAAAAAAAAAAACGCCGCAGCGATCGATTGCCCCCTGCTTTGCAACTGTATACATCAAAAATATCCTCACGCTCTTCTTGACCGTTGCGAAAACCCAGAGACCGAGAGTTGCTTCGTGTACACTCCGATTCTCCACACTCGACGAAAAGGAGAAAAGGAAATTCCAACCATTGCTCCGCGAACTGCTTTCTGCAACAGAGGGAGGCAAATCATAATGTACTCCCCGTGTGGTGCAATGGTCTTTGCACCTCTCTAAAACTTGGAGGTAAAGTGAAAAAAAAAAAAGCATCGTTGGCCCGAAAAGCGAGGAAGAAAAATAATCACGAGAATCAGAGAAAGAGAGAGAGAGAGAGAGAGAGAGAGAGAGAAAGAGAGTGTCGTCGTTTTATTTTTAGTCGTTCGAGGGAAGAAGGTGGGTGAAGGAGGGGTGAGGCGGCCGGGCCGGATCTGCGTCTTTGCCGGCGGCTCGCGAGTCTCGCGGCTCCCCTCGGCGACGATGGAGGACAGCTACACGGTGCACCGGCGACGCAAGGCCGCTGCCAGACGCCGCGAAAAGACACCCGATCCGGCCACCACTGCCCACTGTAAATTCTTCCGTTTGCTCTTTGCTGCCCGCGCCTCTACATACATACATGTATTATATATACACACACGCGTATACGGCTCCCGCGGAGCTTCGAGTTATTCAGTGCGTTGGCGAGTGCTCGCAAGCTCGAGCTTTTCTTTCTTGTACTCGCGTTGCGCGCGAATAACTATCGAAGGAGGTAAACAAAGTCGTGGGTATACTGTGCTCTTTTTACGTAGCAAAACAGTTGATGGACAAAAGTTCATCAACGTGAATCAAGTTTAATGTTGTCGGACGCGTACAACTTATATACTTATGTAGAGGCAGGGATGGATTACTACTCTTTATACTCTTCCGGTCGAAAAGCGCGCCCGTTTGAATTTCACGCTCGATAAAATTGACACCTCGCATATATTATACATTATACCGTAGAAACCCCTTCCTTTTCATTGTTGCGATCGCGGTACAAATTTCCATATCCCTCGATACTCTGTGACTTGTAGTTCAATGTCAATATATCGGAATGTCTTTTTGAGTGCAAGTAAAGAGAGAAAAAAAAAAAAAAAAAAAAGAAAGAAAAAAGGGATGCAAATGGTAAGTAATTGTGTGCAGAGCATAATGTGTAAAAACAATGTTGTTTGGGAAAGGTGAAGACACGAGCTCGATGGACGAGAGCGAGGAGCGCCGAGCGCGCATGGAGCGCATGGTCGAGGACACGGAGCGCATGGAGCTCAGGCCGGACGAGGCCAGGCCGAGATCGACATCACCGGGTGCCGGCAGGTCCATCTCTCTATAATATATATATAACTTGCATAACTTTCCCCCATCCCCGACACTATATACACATATATATTTATCACACGTGACGGGGGGACGTGGTTCAGTTGTGCAAGCAAGCACTTTGACATGGTGATTAATTCGTTGGCGTGATATTATTATCATCATCGCGTTACGAGTTGGATTGTTTCCACGTTGGGAACCATTCAACGAGCCAATCCCGAGGCTATGCGTCTCCTCGCACACTATCACAACATATACACTGCACTCTCGGGTTTTATTTTCGTCGTCTCTATCAAAGTATAGTTCCCGCCGCGTGATCTCTTGGCCCGCATCTATATTTATTATAAACGACGCGTGTGTTTTTGTTGTATATTTTATTTTTCGTGGTTAGCAGAGTGGTATAAGGAAAACGATAGAAGTGGGCACGTGTGTCGGGTATAGTGATTAAATGGTGCACTTGGTGAAAATTGAATGGAAAAAAAAAAAAAATTGACACCTTAGGACCGATATACCGGAGGTGGGGGAGTCAGCCTCATCGCTTCCCAAGAGCCAAGAGGGACCGAGCGAGCCCCCGGCCAGGGGTGCCTCCCGGAGAACCGGCGACTCCGAGCTCAGAAGGAGGGTGGGCTCCCCCGCGGAGGCCAGAACCCGCTCGACGACCACTGCTCGGGTAACCCACCGATCAGCTCTCTATACATACACATATATTTGATATGTATAAGGACAAATGGGGGTGCCGCAGGAGGATGAATCCCAGGGGGAGGCACAAAGCGGCAAGAGACAACGCCCGGGCGGGAGTGTCAGGCAGCGTCGCCGTGAACCCTCGGACGAGGAGGAGGAGGAGGAGTCGAGTCACGGTAGGTCGTCGCACCGGCGCAAGTCACCGGCAAAGAAGCAAATCATACCGTTGAGCAACGAGAGCCTCGCGGGGGATGTGGCCAAGGCCAAGCGAGCCTACGCCCAACGCCACACCAGCGACGAGTACGAGGAGGAGGAGGAGGAGGAGGTGGTGGTAGCGCCGAGGAGGAAGAGGGAGACGACGGCGCGCAGGAGGAAGCCGAGCGTGATGCACAGCGAGGCCGAGAAGAAAGAGATCAGCGAGTCACTGGGTAACCAGGAGTCCTCCTCGTGGCTCCGGTGGATCCCGTTCTTCGGGAGAAAGCCCAAGACCGACGAGGAGACGAGGAAGGTAGGGCACTTCGATAATCAAGTGGGTGGGGGGGTGGGCTCGTCCGCAGCCAAGAAGGAGGTGGAAGAGGAGAAGAAGGCTGGTACGCTGGAGTTTTTGGGGTCGTTGGTGGCCGTAGTCGCGGAGTTTCGGGAGTTTTGCCGTCAAAATCCGCGGGAGGTGGGCATCCTGGTTGAGCTGCGGAACCTGTGCATCGCCGAGGCCATCGTCACGGTGATAATATGCGGCTTGGGTGGTTTTGCCTTTCGGTTCACCGAGGGGGCCTTCGAGTCGTTCTACAAGTGCGGGGTCAAGCGCGTCAAGCGGGACTTTTTGGACACGCTTTGGAACTACAGCCACAACATGAAGGAGGACGACTGGAAGAGCCTGGCGCGCCGCAAGCTCTACGAGTTCGAGGAGCAATTGCACGAGGCCCACGAGGCAGGGGTGCAGAGCTACACGGGCATCAAGAGCTGGAGCTTCCTCAACTCCATGATGTACAGCCTCACCGTTATTTCGACCATCGGTGAGACACGCCTACAACTTGTTTCCTTTTTTCCTTTTTTTTTTCCCCCCCCCCCTCCAAGGTATGGTCTCAATCAACAAGGTATATTTACAGTTACTACGACTTTTTTCTTCCCCTGCAAGAAGATAAGTATATCAAAATTTCTGGTACGCATATCTATAATATTATACGCAGAGAGATGCAAGTGCGCTTTTATTACACGTTTGATACGCAGGTCAAAGTAAATTTACAAGTGTCAAGGATGGTAGTACACGCAAATTAAAAAAAAAAAAGAAAAAAAAAAAAAGATACATTATTTGGAAAATATTACACGAGACACAAATTCTGCGTAGCAATAGATAACAGGGTCAAAAAGAGCGTGTATAAATTGCATTCGCAAACCATTGCCGTATAGTCGACGTGTGGAGAAAAACGATAGTTACCCTCAAGGACTCAATCTAGCGAAAGAGAAAAGTAGGAGAAATAAACACAAAAAGTTAATTGCCATTCGATTTCCTTTAGCCCCATTGTACGTAATGCGCGTCGTCGTAAATTTCCCGGCGCATGAACTTTAACCCTGCACACAGTGCACACCGATAGGTATATACGTATACACGAAAATGGCTCTCATCCGTATACGTGTGCGCATACACACGTATAATATATCCGCTCGTATAAACTTTCCTGCAACTCTCGGCAATTTTGGCGCCGAAAAGAGTTATGATATACCCACTCGCCGAACCTTGAGAGCTTTTGCCAACTATAACGAGACTGCGAGCTCTTCTTCCAAATATTGGACCATCCACTCCTGGTACATGCATATACATTATGGTCCTGTTTTTATTTAAATTCTCCTTTTTTTTCATTTTATTCCATCATTTCTGCATAACAAATATCATGTACCTGTTGAGATTAGATTGTCAAAGAAAAGAAAAACGTGTTTATGCAACAACGTCACGATCATTCAACAGTAAAATAAATTAAAAAAAAAATAATAATAATAATAAAAATGATGTTATTGTCGAAATTGTTGTGAAACAGGTTACGGTCACATATCGCCAAGTACAACGACGGGCCGAGCACTGACGATAGTTTACGCGATAATCGGCATACCGATGTTCCTCATAGTTTTGGCCGATTTCGGTAAGCTGTTTACCCGCGGCATCAAGTTCCTGTGGGCGTTTGTGCGTAGGCTCTACCACAACGGCAGCTGTCGCAAAGTTCAAAAAACCGCCCAAGTACAGGTGAGAGAGCCTTTTTTTTTTTTTCGTATAACTGTTATACATAATAAGGGGCGAGGGAAATATCTTGTTTACGCATGTACAAAGTATCGGATGCGCGAATTTATCGTGTGTACCTTGAGAGAAACTCGAGACGATGATTTTGCAATTCAAAGGAGCGTCGTGATAATTTTGTACCCATCCCCTTCCCCCCCACTATATATACAGAAGAAACAACAACTAAGATAATTTAAATATGCTTTGATCCTAAACTTTACTTTCTCAGGATTATATTTTTTTTTTTACACTGCACACGCGTAATTCTCTTGATCCTAGAACCAATTTCTTGTATCGCTTAGTACACACGAGGTATATCACGCGTAAACTCAACATCGTACAATTAATAGTATCGAAACAATTGTTTTGACAACACTGACGGTATTTTGCAAATCATGATTTTGCCGGTGTCGTCACGCGGATATACACGACCGAGCAGTTGACTCGAAAAAAAAAAAAAAAAGTAAAATCCAGCGATTTTCACTTTATAAATATAAGTAGTGAATTTCTATGGGTTATTGGAATAGTGAAAGCATATTTTTCGCTTGACAATAAATGAATATTCACGGTTTCAAAAGTAAATAGTGAAATTTCCACACGATATTGAATTTAAAGAGTTGATGGAAAAAAAGCAAAAAAATATCCCGTAGGAAATGATGAAAGGCGTGCAGTTGGTGTACGATTTCGCGACGTTCAGGCGACCGTCGGAGGTGGAGGAGATGCAGCGCCAACAGCAGCAGCAGCAGCAGCAAACGACCCTCGGTATCGACGGGAGCGCGTCGCAGAGGCCAGACTCGCCCGCGACATCCGCAATGTCCGTCTTTCAGGTGGACGACGAGTTCAATCTGCCGATATCCGTGGCCATAACGATCCTCGTCCTGTACATCATTTGCGGCGCGGCAGTGTTCAACTACTTCGAGGAGTGGACCTTCTTCGAGAGCTTCTACTTTGTCTTCATTTCCATGAGCACCATTGGATTCGGTGACTTTGTGCCCAAGGTATATAAAGGGTCTCCTCGTTGCTTATCGCCTCGAGCGACCATATTCACAATTTTTTATTTACAAATACGACGACAATCTAGTATATCTAATGCTTTTGGTGCGAATGTCGCTCTTGCAATCGCACGCATGGTAATAAACTTTTGTACATTTTTTTCCGCTTTCCGTTCGATGGTCTTAAGAGGGTAAGCCTGTTTTTTTCCTTTGATTTCCAAAGAAATTCATGTACGAAATACACTTGTTTGATTGAATTTCAGGAAGTTGATATCTGATTTTTTTTTTTTTTTAATCATTTACACGTTACCATGTAATGAGTACAGTTGAAGAACAAGTTTTTTCAATTTCTCGTGAATTGAAATGACAATGCGTGATTTTACAAAGCAAAATAAATTTCAAAATTGAATGTATACAGCAAAAATATATATACCAATGAGGGATGAATACAGTGGCTTTTAAAAGCTTGGATCTTGCTAAACCATAATATAATCATGAATGTACTTTGGTAATTTTTGGTAATTTTTGGTAATTTATTTTAAAAAAGTATAAAAAAAAAAAAAACAAAGATTATTTTGCAACGCTGTTCAATTCATATGCAAACAAATACGTATACAACACGCATGTTTCTCTGTATTTTAACTACTTGGAGCAACGTCTATTGTCACGCACACACGTACACTGTATTTACGGGTGTAAAGTGTCCTTTCATCCATACCTCGATGTAATGAAAAATAATTTTTCTTTCACCAGGATCCAATCTACATGATGTTGTCAATAGTTTACATGATCTTTGGTCTCGCTTTGACGTCCATGTGCATCAATGTCGTTCAGGTAAGAAAATAATAGTCGACTACTTAAGCACAGAAATTTTTTTTTTAAGTTTAACTTTACTCGGTTTACCAAAAAAAAAGTTGGCGGTACATAAAATTAAATTTAACAAAAGTTTGTTTTGTTTGATTATGCTGTTCTTCATTCGATGGAGAACTTGATAGTTTCTTTAATTTAAATATATTAATTTATTGATGTATAATGTATATGTTTAACTATAAAACAATTAAACATTGTTTTGTGAGTGAATTGTTGAAACAAAATAATGGCAAATAATTTTTAAAAAAATTTTACTAGTAATTGTAAATGAAAATAATTTATGATGTTTTAATTCTGTAAAGCCTGCAATGTTCTGTAGACTTGATAATTTGTTGCGAAATAAGCTCTCAAAAACAAAAAGAAAAAAAAAAAAGTATAAAATTCTCGTGTAACTGAACGAAAGCCACAACTCGGGAGGAAGAAAAAACTAAATACGATATTTCAAACTTTATAAAAGAAGATTAGTAATATCGTGTTACCGACAGACTTTAGCCAAGAAGTAATTAACACTTGGTTGTTGAACACATTTCGTGTGACATTAATTTTTTTTTTTTTTTTTTTTTGCTCTTCTACAGTGCGAATAATTACGAAAACCAATATTATGAAAAAATATTGATCCTAATTGGAATCACTCCGATAGCCAATAAAACGCGGAAATGGAAAATTGGAGAAAAATGTAATTACCTTCGATAAAGAAAAATACACGCGCGCGCAATATTGTTTAAACGTAATTGTAAAGCAACACAAAAAAAACCTCGAAATAATTGAATTCTGATACCAACGGATTTGTGCGATACACAAAAGGAACGAAACATGTAATATATATTTATCAAACACTGCATACTCAAATAGAGAAAAAAAAAAAAAAAAAAACAACCAAATATTTTCACGACGTGCTTTTGTGCGCAGGTGATGCTGACGGACCAGTTCAAGCAGGCGAGCCAAAAGATCGGCGCGTCGATCGGTTTCCAGGTGTCGGACGAGGACGGCTCTCTGAGGCCGGCCCCTCCGGCGCCCGTAGAAATCGCCGACGTGCACCTCAACCCGAGCGAAAAGGTCGCGCCCACGGCCAAACAGGAGGACGACGAGCTCTAGGCCCCGCAGGAGCCGTCGGCTGACCGCGACACCTGGACACGGGCTTTCAGGAAAAAACACCGCGTCGGCAGCTGACGGTCCGAGTTCACGGGACGCTGAGGGCCTTATTTCCCACTTGGCCGTGCGCGTCTCGACCAGAGGACGATGCTAGTTTGTTTTTCAACGCCATTCCCCACTTTCATTCTAATGGAACAAGGTGCTCGAATATTCAATTTTAAAAAAAGGAGGGAGAAGCATATCGTATTGGGAGGAAAACAAAATAGGGTTCGCGTGGACAAAAGCAGAGGAAGAGTGGAATCAAGTCGACCGGGGGGAATCTCGTTGTATGGTCCGAAAAAACTCTCGAGTACGTGTGCTTTAAAAAGTTGATTCGAAGGCGAAAGTTTTGCGGAGGGTGCGCGACGATGTTAATTTTAAATGTGGGCGTATAGGGGAGCTTGCGCGTGTGGTGAAACTTTTTCCGGCCGTCGAAAGTTGATAAATTTACTTTCGGAAGCCGAATAATGGACGACGTAGGTGTGACGTGTATATTTTCAAGATGCGATCGTTTTTTGCTCGTTTGATTTTTATTAGAGAAAGTTGCGATGGTGTATTTTATAGAAAATAATTAAATACATGCACATATATATATATAAATCTGTTTCTATGACCAGGCGCGTGGGAATTGTGTCACTGATATACATCTTATATATACTGTTGTCAGAAATTTAGGAAGATATTTTATTTTTTGAAGAATTGATTTTTTGGTAGTGACGGCCCCGATTATTGTACATAAAAATAATATATATATTTGAATCACACTTTACGTGACAATATAAACAAACACAATTTTGCTTGAATTTCGTACTTGAGATATGCATCAAGTGCGATGAAAATAATCTTGTCTCGTGTACGATGTAAAAATGTAAAAAATTAATTGTAACAGAGAGAAAACATAACTTATATACGAAACATTTATGATATTAAATCAAACAAATAATTTTACGAATACTTTTGCAAATTAACATGAACATTTATTTGAAAAAAGAATTGTATTAAATTATACTAAGTAGATTTAAAAAAAAATTTGTATATCATAAAAAACTAAGAGATAACCACTGTGAAATGATATAGATAAATTTTTAATGACAAAAAAGCGTTATAAAGAGTTGCGTAATTGGTGAAGGAATATATTATAGCAGCTTATTGATAAAAAAAAAATTGTTGATCGATCGAGCTAATAATTCTTGTAATTTATAAATGTTCTTAAAAAAAAAACTTGTTTTTAAATTTAAATGCTAATGCATGAAAGCTTCCGAGATAGAAAAATATTTGAGATAAAAACTCAATTTTGCCAAACAGATTTTTTTACAATTGCTACAAAGACGAATCAACACGCTCGTGTCGCTAAACTTGTGAAAAAATTATATGCTCAAAAAAGTCAGTTTCTTTACCTCCATGAATTTGTTAATTCATCGTTTCAACAAAATAAAAGAAATATATTGTACATACATAGTTGTGTTTGTGTGCATAATAATTGACTCGCGTTCACAAACACATGCAAATAACCAAAATGTATGATAAAACAAAAACAATATGTAATTTTACAAAAAAAAAAAGTTTATAAACTAAATTAACAAAAAAAAATAATTTAAAAAACTAGTGCCTTTTTTGAAAACTGAAAGCTAAGCGAGTATCATAATAAATACGTAAGTGACAATTGATTCCTGTATCATATTTCTCGCAGAAAAAACTTGTGTATATGATATATGTAATGTTTACCGAGTGTTTTACATGTAATGGGTGGTTTGTTGTCATTAAAATGAATAAATTATATACACATAATTGTTTTCAAAATGGTATGCGGTTCAGTTGTCTTCAAGTAGTGCATGATTATTTTTTAAGCGAATCACGTGTAATAACATATCACATTATTAAAATATTTTTTAAATAAACGAAAAAAATACAAAATTACATCGCACGACTACATAAACAAAGCCAAAACCGATACACTCAAATCGAGCACCATTAAATAGCTCCCGGATCGTCTGGCTTAGAAATCCAGCTATACTAAAATAACTACTGTGAAAAAGCTTCCGCAAACAATAATTTAAAGTCTAATTGCACAATAATTAAAATTTTGCTATGAATTATAACAACTTATAAAAAAAAAAAAAAAAAAAAAAAAACCTGAAATAAGCAACCAATTCTACTTTAGCACAATTATTTTTTGGGTTTTGAAACACTTATAAGAAAATTTTTTTTTCCTCAATAAAGTGCATTCTATTAGCTGAAACATTTTTTTATGCGCCAATACAATATTTAAAAAAAATATTTTTTGGTGGATAATTCTTTTACTACTTTTTTTCTTCTCATTTTTGTTTCTTTAAATTTTAATGCACTGTTTTGGCTGGAAAAAATGTTGTCAAGCGCTGTATTTTATAAGAAGTACTTGATAAAAAATGTTTCTACTAGCACAAACAAAGCATTACACTTTCAGGAAAAAAATTAAAAAAAAAAAAAAAACTTGATAAAGTATCCGTGCCCAAGTCTGTCGATGCAAGTGGTCAGTGAACAAACACACGCGAGACACTGTAACAATTCGAACAGTTGACTCACCAATATTATTATTGCGAATAAACATTTGTTACTGTCCGTTTCTTTTTAACGTAAATAATAATAAAACAAAAAAAAAAAAAAAAAAAACGACTTTTGCTCAGATGCACCTTTTCAAACTTCCCGCCTGTCATTGCTGCCACAGTAACCCGATTAGAAACCGACCTTCCAGCGAGTTTCGGGCCCGTTAATGGTGCCATAAGCTAGGTATACGGACCAATTACGGCACCATACACGGCCTGTGTGGTAAGTGTTAACAGGTGAGTATATGGACCGGGTATGGCAGCCATAGGGTCCGGTAACCGTATACAGTCCGTATAATCTCCAGAGCAGGCAAACGGAAGCGAAGAAAATAAAGCTTAACCAAACTTTAATAAATAGGAAATAATAAATGATCCAAAAGTAATTTATAATAAATGACCCGGCATATGCAAAAATAGTCTTTATTAATCATTTTATGTATCGGTACAACTAGAAATTTGACTAGTACATTAACATTATGCGTTACATATTAATCTCATTATTCACCGTTTTCTTTGTTATCATCATTTTTTTTTTAATCTAACTGGATTTTTTTCAGCATTCTTTAAGCTCGTCCTCCATCCCAATCAATACAGTTATTAATAATACTTCTTCGAGTATCAAATCATTACTGAATAAGGGTGCGTTCCGACGCAACGTCAACAGCAATCTGCAATCCATTTGAAAGCGCGAGTGCGAGAGAGAGGGCGAATGATCCTTAATCTCTCTCGCACCCGTGCATTCAAACGGATTGCAGATTGCTATTGACGTTGCGTATGAACGCAACCTAAAACACAGCTGTTCGTTTTGTACGCACATAATATACCCTCCGGCTGTATACGGGCAGTATAATAATGCCGTACCATATGGTTGCCATAACCGGTCCATATATACTCACCTGGTAACACTTATCATACAGGCCGTACAGATTACCCTCCGGCAGCGGTATATGGTCCTGATGATGGTATCTTCCGGCAACCGTAAGCTTATTCTAATCAGGAATAGGTTTGTTCATTTATCCACCTTGGAGCGCTCCGAGCGCTCCGAGGCCTCCGAGCGATCTATAAATGAACACGAGTTCTTTATCGGAGAACTCGGAGGTCTAGAGATATCCTTATACTATATAGGTATACTCACCGCTTATAACTGATGTTTGTAAACAATGAGCAGTTATAAAGTGAGTATACCTATATAGTATAAAGATGTCTCGGAGGCCTCCGAGTGCTCCGACAAAGAACTCGTGTTCATTTATAGATCACTCGGAGGCCTCGGAGCGCTCGGAGCGCTCCAAGGTGGATAAATGAACAAACCTAATGTTACACAGAAAATTTTTTTACACCCACGCACTCAAGCTCAAGCGGACGACGCTCAACCCCGGAGCACAAATCATCATGTGCATCAGGCCTTGTCACTATACTCACTATAGAGATAATATAAAAGATGGCCGTGAAGCTGCGGAAGAGCACGAGCCGCGCGTCCTCGAAACAAAGTACGCGGGCTCGTGAATAAATTTTTCTTTTTTTTTCTTCCTTCGTTCGTTTGTGCAGGAGGTGGTGGGTGATATAGTTACCGCGCGGGAGTGGATAATCGACATGTCGCACGTGCAGTACGTCGACGAGTTGGTGAAGGAGTACCTGCTGTTCCGGGGTTTTTCGCAGACTCTGCGAGCCTTCGACTCGGACCTCAAGGCTGAGAAGGAAAAAGGCTTTCGGGTGAGACGTTGTTTATGTTTAATGACCAGCTCTATTTTTTTCGTATGTACGCGTGTGTGTGTGTGTTTTAAGGGTTTATCAGGGGGTGGGTGTGTTTTTGTTTTGAAGCTTTGGTGTCGAGTGCTCCGTTTCTTTTTGTTTTTGTTTTGATGGATGACATGTGATGATTCATTTCGAAGCATCATACGTATCCATGTTTACGTCACACACATACGATCGGGTTTCAAGACGATAATATTGCTGTTAATAATAAAAACGATGATTTTTGCTCATCAGGCACGAGCGAGTGAGTCGTTGTTTCTAATGAATTTATCAGCGTACTGTTACGCTGAAATTAAAAATTGTTCACAAGTCACGTGAACATGTACGCTTTTATTGATAAAAAAATAAAATAAACCAAAAATTAATCGTTGTGTCGTTCAGGTTGACAAAATTGTGGACCAGTTCATGCAATACATCCACAGTCACGATCTGGTTTCGTTGCGAGAGTTGTGGGGACACCTGGACACACGATTGTTTTCGCGTCTGGAAAATCATTTCGCGCCCGTTATTAGAAAATTGGAAAATGCCGTCCTAAAGATGTACCTCGTCAGTGCAGTCATAAACAATAAGCCGGAAAGAGTTCAAGAATTTTTCACAAAAATGACGCCGGAATTGCAAGGTCACTCCGAATGGAGAGAGTGGTTTGGTAAAACGAGAAACACCATTACGAGTATTAGGTGTATTTATTGAGATTACCGAATAAGTATTTTTTATTTGCAGCACTGCCTTACGTGAGGAATCCAGAGGAAAATTCGTCGTTTTCGGTGTACTTTAGCAGACAATGGCAGGACACGATGTTAGTTTCTTTACACAACTTTCTGGCGACTATCTTCCAAGTATGTGCACGCAAGTTGATTGAAAAATTTCATCCCAAACACACATTAGAGTGTATTTTTGTTTGTATTTTTTTCAAGTGTATGCCAATGCCAACTCTTTTAATGATTGACGAGGATACAAACAAAATAAGAAGGTTGCAGGAGGAGAACGAGAGACTGAGACAAAAGCTCAGTGAAATGATGAAAATAGAGTCTATATTAGACGTCAACGCAGGACCAACTCCCCAGCAGCCACCGCTGATGGACGATTTTTACATTATAGCTCAGTACGTGATGACCACAGCAAAGCATTTAACACCAACTTGACATTATAACGAAAAATCATGTGTATTTTGCAGAGAATCTCCCATAGTGGATAACCCGAAAACGCTGAGGAATCTCATAAGGAACATAGGCGGTGGATCGAGTCCGATTCTGAGTAGAAGAACCACTGGTAGTATAAAAAAGCATTCCGAAGCTGACGCAAACATGACGAAGCGAGCCAATGCCAAAAGTAGAATAACTTCTTTGAGCAAGTCCGAGGCGGTGGCGAAAAGAAGCACAAGCTGTGATTCAAGACTGACTAGGAAAAGGGACTCGTCCGTGGATACCGGCAGGGAACCCAAGACCAACGACAAGTTAGACGGAAGCTACATTCTTCTGAGCCAGGTCGATAATATTAAAAGCACACTCATGTGCATCAAGCTCGAATGGTTAACCAAAATATAGAGGATAAAATTCGTTTTTAGGAGGAGTACACCGAGCACAAAACGTCCATAATTCAGTGTAAAAGCAACGCCAGTGGTTCGTACGTAGCTACGGGAGACGCGGACGGTATCATTAAAATCTGGACGCCCATACCGTCGCCCAAGTATGCAATTAGTCAAATTAGCTTGCTTCAACGAGAGTATTTCGTTGTAACCGCGTGGGCGGCAAAATAAAATGTTGAATTGATCCACAGGACTGTAGCCACGTTCACTTCCTCCACGGCGAACTCGAATAAAGCGGTGACGGCTCTCGACTGGATATCCAAAAACGAGCGGTACTTCATCCACGGCGATAACAACGGGGCTATCCAGTTGCACGACACGCGCGACTGCAAGACGCTCTGGGAGATCCAGCACGAGAGCTCGCGCATAGTGTCCCTTGTCTGTAATCCCACGGAATCGAGTTTTGTGTGCTCTGTGTCCGATCCAGCCGAGGGCAAGCTACTGCTGTACAATATAAAGACAAAGAGGGTCGAGCGTACCCTGCCACTCGAGCGGAGCTTGACGGCCCTCTGTTCGAGTTTCAACCACAACGGGCAGCTGCTCGTCACGGGTCTCTCGAACGGCAACGTGCTGATCCACGATCTGAGGAGGAACGAGATTATCGACAATCTTAGCTGCCACTCGAGTCCTGTCATCGACATCGAGCTAACCAACGACTTCACGAACATATGCGCCCTCAGCGAGGATGGCAAACTGTGCCAGAGGAGCTTGAGCCAGACCGGCAAGATCGTCTGGGAGACGAAGATCAAGATCGAGAAGAATTCCGTGCACGGAAAGCTGTTTACGTTCGACCAGAGTGGCACGCACATGCTGCTGTGCACCCAAAGTGGAGGCAACATATACAAGGTGCGTTCATGGAATTTTCGATTCTATTGACTTTCATCGAGAAATGTGCGATGCCTGATTTGCCTGTGTTGTTTCTTTACAGATGCCACCGCGACCGCAAGCTAAGATACTCGAGCTGGGAGGTCACAAGGGAACATTGTGCTGCGACTGGTCGATGGCCAATCAATCGGGCACATGTATCACTGGCGGTGCCGAGGGTAGGGCGCGGGTGTCGACCCTTCTCTCACCATGATACAAAAATAGGATAAACATTTGTATAAACTCGTGATATAAAAATATAACGTAAGGATAAGGACAACAGAAGAAAGAAAGAGAGAGAAAAAAAAAACTAAGTCAACTGACAACTGCGCAGTTTTTGTAAATAAAAGCAGTATTATGGTGCGGCTGTGCGTCGTATGCATAAATATAAATATATACAGAAAGCGAAATAAAAATTTAATTTATATACAAAATAACGATTGATTTTATTGCTATTATTGATGTTTGTATGATGCCTATTGTGAAATTCAAATACCTTATGGTTTAACAAGCTAGGAACTTTGTGTGTGGTTTTGTCATGGACCAGCTACTCGACATCTCCAACTGAGGTGACCAATATCGTCTGAGCGCCTCGTTAACTTCGGCCGGAGTCAGTGGTCTCGTCATGACTGGCTGTAAATTTTTATTAATTTTTTTTGCATAATTTTTAACGACACATTTTTTACTACAAAATTGTTTAAGCCCCAAGTAAACATGACTACCTTTGCATATTGATAAGGCTTGTACGTGATAGGATTGGGATAACTAGATTGGAGCCTATCGATTGGATCACCTTGCAATTTGTTCTGATCCTGCCGTACTAAAAATGCAAGGTCAACAATTTGAGCTACCGTTTCGTACGCCAGGTACCCCAACACTGTGTACCCTGCCTTGGATATCGTGAGATCACCTGAAAATACAATTTCCTTTTATAAAAAAGTGTCCACGTTAAAAAACAACTCGATGCAGAGTATATCTGTTACCGCTCGCTCCAATCCAGTCGCTAAATTTGTGTTTGTTTTTGTTTGCAAACGAAACGCATCTAGCCTTGCTGAATTCCAGATACCTAGATTCATCTATCTTCCTTGATATCATCTCCATCCTCATATTTCTTTTATGCTTGACATGGTCAACCAATTCCTTGTCATTCAATAATTCACCTGTGTTGTCTATGTGCTTGAGAAATTTAAAGCACGGTATCTTGGAAACCTCATCAGACTTGGAAACATCCAAATAATCCATGGCTTCTGGCTCTATGGTCTTGTACATTGTCGACTTGAATTCCTTTAATTCTGGAGATCAGTCGAAATAATATCATCATGATTTTGCATTAAAAGATTGTAGGGTTTAAATCCATGTATAGCAACGTACTCAAATAATTGACAAGTCTCTGCAACTTGATCTTGTCTTTCCTCAACAGAAACAAAAAATCTTCAGTACTGACGGTCGGACTTTCTCGCATGTCCGCAATCTCGCAGGCCTTGCGAATAATACCTCTCATTTGATTCAAAACAACAGATTCGATGATTTTTGCAGTCTCGACCAGGGGCTCCGAATGATCTCCAAAGCCATGCATCATCTGACGAATTTCTGCAACCAAATAACAGCACGTAAAAAAAACCAAAGTTGTTTTTTATATTCAACAAAATCATCATATGCTAACCGGTAGTGTAGTTTATCGGTTCGAATTTGTGCTCCGGGTTTTCCGGGGTAGGCTTGGTAAAAGCTTCCTCCATTGTGATTGCTTGTTAATTGAGCGCCAATTATTGCTGACTTATCGGTTACGTGCTTCTTGCGATTTACGACATAACCCTTACAAAAAGTGTAAGTATCAGGATAAACAATACAAAACAACAAAACTAAAAAGTGATAAAAATAGAAGAAGAAAAAAAACTAAGGGAGAGATAAACCCAAAAACGCAAGACAGTGATTCTCTCCAGGGATCAACACTAACGTCAGTCGTCACTATGACTGATCTGACTAACAATCTAACGCAATAACAAACGACAAAACGTACAGAGCGCCATGCGGCGGCATAAAGTAGAAATAATCACTAAGTTAAGAAAAACTTTATTTTACAATAAAATACTTGTACCTACTTAACTTTGATATTTCAGAAAAAAAGACAAATTTTCGATATTAAAAAGACAACGATCATAATTTACATTCTGTATGAATGAAAATAGTTCCAACCCAAATGAAAATTGAAATAAAGAATAAAGTAGATAGGTATACGTGTTGGATAAAAAAAGAAATGTTTGGGAAAACTGCATTATTCAAGTAATGAACGCAAAATAAGGGGAAGTTATTCCGTATTAGAAATAAAAGTTTGAAATGTTTAAGCGTTAATTTTTAACGTGTTTTACTGTACGTTTCCCAACAACATATACATATGTACATTTTTGTTAGTAGTACTAATTCAAAGTAATCAAAAAGTTTGTTCAACATTGGTAAAATTAAAATGTTATTCTACGTAACTGTCAAACTGTCAAACAGGTCAAACTGTCGGTGACAGGTGACAGTAGGTATACATATATTATGTTCTTGTGCCTGCTTAGTTATGCCGTATTGCCGTATGCCGCTTATGCGTTTTTACGCAGACGTCATGACCGGGCTTCCGTAGAGAGCTAAGCTCGGAGCTAAGCCGCATAGGTATAGCTTTGATGGTAGGTATAGAGAGTATGGAATACAAAACTACATGCGCCACCCCCTGCGACCCGCGATATGGAAGTTACATACACTCTATGTGCATATGTGCACACCCACGCGTACTAACACTTTTGAAAAACAAAATGAGCTTGAAACTTTAGAATTTCAAAGCTGCTACAGTGGGCAGCAGCAGCATCAATGGCCATCCATGATATACCTATATTATATTAAACGAAGGTAGAAGCTTTTCAAGAGCGCATATTTTTTGGCCAGACGTCAGACGAGAGAAAAAACACATACGATGACGATCTTGGCTTTTGTCGGGTAAGACATTTTTTACTTAACGCTTTTTTTTTTACCAGCTTTCTTTGTTGTTTCAATTAACTGTTTTTGACAAATTATTACTGTACCTACGCGAGGACAAGAGATATGTCATTGTTATTGATGCTAGAGGAGATAAAGTGGAAGGGTGATGGTCAAGTATACATAGGCGAGTAATTAAATACATAATTAAAGTGAACCAAGTATTAAAAAGTGTATGTACTCGTTATCTTATCAGAATTACTTTTGGTACATAGTTCTTATTTATCATAACTTGTAACTTTTTTAATAACATGTATCACTGTTGTGTCATCACTTGTCTTACTCAACATCTCAAGCAATATGATCCTTGTTTTCATTATTTATTCATTTTCCATGACATCCGTTTTAAAAATAATAGTATTGTAAACGATATTTTGTCTTTTAGATGAAACATTGAGTGCCCATAAGTAAAAAAAAATGGACGTGGAAGGCTCGGATTACTCGAAAAGCGAGCTGGACTCTCTGCAGATGCTGGAGGACGAGCTTCGACTTGATCATCATCCGCCGTCAGTTCCAGATGTGACGATTACAACGGAGCAGCTGTCGAAGAGAGTTGCGGCTCTGGAACTGGAATTAGAGAGGACCAGGCTAGAACTGAGTGCCAAAAATGCTGCCAACCAAGGATTGAAGAGTATAATAACGGAGCTCCACGTGGACGCTAGGATCTCAATACAGGAGAAACAACAACTTCATAACTGTGTTAAAGACGTGGAGTGCAAGTTAGCTGCTACTGAGAACTCGATGAATTGGTATCGAAGACAGGTGCACGAGGTCCAAGCCAACAAGAAAACCTTGCAGATCGAAATAGACACTTACCGTGACATGCTGAGCCAGAAGAGCTCGACCTTGATGAATGTTAGCTCCAAGTACAAACAATTGAACGACGATTACATGGCGATTGTCCAGAAGCACAAGAGAGAAAAAGACAGCCTGCAAGCCGAGATTGATTTGTTGAAGACGTCGCAGAAGAGTATTACTAGTGTTACGGTTGGTTAAACTTTTTTCTTACCTCTGCACTTGTCTGCTCAGCTAACTCATGTGTTTTTTTTTTATTTTATTTTTTTCAGAAATACGATCAGCAACTGCCATCGACAGTGCCATTGTTAGTCCACGTGGGGTTGTCAAACCGACTAGAACTAGCCGAGGAAGAGCTCCAAAAATCTCGATCGGAACTGCGGTCCATGGAGCATCGCCTTCAAACCCTTGGCAGCGAGAGAGCGGCGTCCAAAGCCACCTGCTCCAATCAGCAGATTCAGCTATCAGTGGCCGAGGACAATCTTCGCAGCTACGAGAAAGAGCGTAGTTCGCTCGCAGAAACCTGTCGGGAACTCAGGGTGGAACTTGGAAAGCTCAGGTCGGAGAACGCGAGTTTGCAAATTGGGCTTCTATCGGCCAGGCAGGATAGGGAACAGGTGGAGCAGGCAATAGAGCAGCTGAGACTGCAGTTGACGAAAATCATTACCCAGTACAAGTTGTTGAGGAACAAGAACGGAGAGCTGGAGGAAAAGTTAAGCTCGATGCAGAATGTGTGCGAAGAGAACAAGAGGCTCAAGCTGCTCTCGTACTCTACCAATGCGTCGCTGTTCAAGAGACTGAGGCAGGAGAGAAAAAAGACGAATAATTTGCAGAAACAGTTGTCCCAGGAACAGAGCAAGCATCGCATCCTTTCCGAGGTGAGGCTTGTTTTTTTTTTTTTTTTTTTTTTTTTTTTTTTTTTTTTTTTTTTTTTTTTTTTTTTT